TTATTCATCAACCAATAAGAGAGGCGTATTTACAGAATAACGTCTCCCATCAGGAGTCAATGTTTAAGCCATTTCTAATTTTTTTTTCATACCTGCTATTATTTGAACCCAACCTCGCCCCCATTTTTGAGGCTGGATTCTACTTCCTAACTGTGGATACCCTGGATCCTCTAGTCTCTTGAGTGCTAAGATTAAAAATATGAAGCATCACACCTGGATTAATCATCTAACATTAGTACTTGATTAATCTAGTTTTAAATGTATGTAGATGGTTACATGTTGTCAGTCCTAGCTCTTATTTAGGAAAATAATTTAATATACAAGGATGCTCAGTTCTCCTATAAGCAAAGTTGTAGCAGTTTCTTCTTTAATGTAACACCATGACTCAAACAAAGAGCATTTGCCCTTTGTTTTTCCCAAGATTTCTTTCAAGTGCACACTGCCAGGGCATTGTCATTTATACATTTCTCTGTTATTCTCATTGGTTGCATCTAGATTTGCCTTTAAGCTCTATATATTTTATTGACATTTTCTTCAAAGAATCAAGCTAGAACCAGATGATAAAATGAGTTGTACTTTCCAGCAGATGCGTTTACAGTATTTGGCTGTTTGTAGGTGGTTTTTCTGGGCTGTAACAGAATAAAGCCTAAAGCATCCTATTAACTGTACTGTTTATATGGGTGCTAATACACTTTGAATAAAACCCTCAATTACTAAGCATTTTTGAGGCCTGACAAGACAGTCCCATGACATTAATGGTATCTTTATAACCTTTTTAACTTCTTGTCTCTCTGACAGAACTCTACAATAACAGCAATGGGTTTGCCCTTGGCAAGCAAAAACTCATTTTGAGAGGATAATAGGTATTTACTATTTAGATAGCTGGCAATAAAATTTCTCTGAATGAGATTTTCCTGAGAAACTATAAACTGATTGAATTACTTCCTTTAATGGACTGGAGGAGTGTGTAATAATAGTTTGTTGAAGCTTTACTTCCAGTGTTTTGCTTCCTTTTTTTTTTTAGAAGACATAGAAACAGTCTGGTCTGAGTGAATCATGGGCATTGGTAGAAGTTATTCTGCGTTAGGTAGCTTCTTTTTCTTCTCTAAATTGAAACAATTTAAAAGCACTAATTCTTTAAGGATGGACAGGATATAAGCAATGTGTTTTCTCATACCAACCTTTATTTTTAACCAGAAGTAAAATTTAGCAGTTTATGCCACATAAGATCTGTTTTTATGAAATATGCCACAGGAGAGATTAGCATGGAAAACCACCTTGTTTTTTAGCTGATGTCTTTGTTGGCCCCTTTAAAGTAAATGAAAATCAATAAGCAATTGTCTCCTTTGCCTAAACACTAGAAGAGAAGTTAAGTTTTGCTAGTAATATTAATATAGTGTATGTTTCTGATTTGTGTTCAGTTTACAGGAGATATTTTTAAATGACTATTAAACTTGGACTTTATAAAATTCTGTATATCCATGATATAAGTATAAGAAAGAAATTTCACATTAGTTTTGTGGAAAGGAAATACTTAAAATGTATTTTGTTACTATAAAACCTGATTAAGGAGCTTCTCTGAATTCTACTTAATGTGAACTCTGTCAATAAATGTCAACTAGGAAATGTAGTTTATGATTCTTGATTTAAAGTGTGAAAACATACATAAAATATATTTGGTAATTCTTACTGTAAACATTTTTCTTTAAAGACAAATCCATTATGGTCCTTGGGGGTGACAGCTTGCAGAATATTTTTCAAGGCCATGAATTTTGCACAGAAGTACATCAAATTCAGTATTTTTATTGGCAATCAGAATTTCATATTTGTTGCTATAATAAAATTGTGATTGAAATGGGACCTTGAGTGTCCTGTCCTTATGTGAAGTACTTTGAATTTGAATATCACACAAATCCTAACTTAGAGCACGTTCATTTTCTCTTAAGCCCTTGGCACTGACACATCCATTGCTGGCATTGTTTTTCATTCTAGCAAATCTGTGCTGTTGGCACCACTAAGTACAAGGGACAGGAGTTGTGATAGTAAAGAAGTGAAGGGAGAAGTGATAGTATTTGTCTTCTTCTCTGAATGAACTATTCTAGAGCTCTGCTACAAACTATAAAATTCTTCATAATTTAGCTGTTACTGAGTGTTTTGATGTCATGCTTTTTTGTCCCTTCTTAGGATTTTAAATAAATAAACATGAGTGAAATATCAAATAATGGCTTGTCGAGTACATTTTCTGACATTTGTTTACAACTTACTTGGAATAAATTTAAGTGGAAAGTTGGGATTAGAGTGGAACCCTCCTCTGTAATATACAATTCTATCTTAAACAGATAGTCCTAAAGTTACCATTAATACAAATTTACTGGCAGCAGCAAGGATATGGTGAATATATACTCGTACTGTAGTTGTTTATTCTTCATGCTACAGGTTCACTGTGTTTACCACTATGTCCATTTGTTTTCAAATTAGATACTAAGTATTTTTTCAATGCCCAGTTGGCACAAATTTTATGTTAACTATTACAATGGTTTTCATGAAAAAAAAAGTCATTAGAGAAAAATAACACTGTGGTTATTTTTATCCTTTAAATGGTTAAACTTTAATAGAACAAAAAAGATGTTCATATTTTCCACATAAAATATATTGCCATGAAATTATGCTATTTTGCATATAAAAACCAATTAGTACATATTCCTGTCAATTTTGTGGGAATAATGGATCTTTAGGTTTTTGTTATTAGAAAGTTTGAGTTACTATTTGTTTATTGGTGGCTCCATTTTCTAGTGTGAATTTATTCACCTAAACAGTGCTTTGTCACTCAGCAAAATGCATACATATATAAAATAGCATTAAATATCATGTTGCAAGGATGAACTTTATCTACATAATCGTTTTCCATTAATCTGCATGATCCCCAACCTTACTACCATCATTGGCACTTACCTATATTAAGTCTGTTAATTTTATGAACATGCTAAACATTTTGCACATAAAATTCTTTATAAATAATGCAAGACTTGACGACTAACAGTGCAATTTCATAACACTGTTTCAAGGTGTAGAATATTTTTTGATATGTGGTTTCTTTATTAAACAGTTCTTATGTTGAATTTTTCTTTCTTTTAAGGAGATTTTCCATTTTAACATGAGGAACTGGTGTCCTGGGTAAGGCTTTTACATGGAAACAAAGTAACAGATTGAAGTGGTTTCAGGGCTTTAATCCCATGATAAATTAGCCAGCAGGCTAGCCTTTTCATAGATGTGCTAAACAACAGGTTGATGCCATTTGGGCATTAGCAGTGAGAACCACCTGAGGGAATAGGGAATGAATAAGAAAAAATGTAGCATGGGAAGGAGAAGGCATGGTTATTAGCTTTTGCAAGATCAGGCAACTAAAGTGATACCCAAAAGTGAGTCCTTGTATCTGATAGTCTAGGTTTTCCCTTGAATCTTCTTAAATTGAAACCTTGAGACTCTTGAGATGACTTAAGGATAACAGTGTACTTTATTAATGTAATTCCCAAATTTCAAAGTGTTAGTAAGTTTATATTTCATTTTCTGAATTTATTTTCTGATAGCATAATTTGAGGCTTTGAAATTTGCTTAAAGATTATTTCTAATGAAATAAAAGAAGATATTTTGTAATGCACACAGATTAGATATATTTAAGTCATATTATCTATTTAAAAGCAAACAGATGATTTATTACCATATGTTACTATATATATATCCATATATATACATATATATATAGATATATATGGCAGTAGATTTAACTAATATCACCAACAAAGAATGGTGATTGTTTTCATCATAATTAACAAGACTTAATATGGAAAATTATTCATTGAGCCTTTAATGAAGAAATATAATTTCATGGAAACTGAAAAGAATTTACCTCAAGGAAAGTATGTTTTAAATTTATTCATTTTCCATCTTAAAGTTCCTAAAGTAATTGGTACTTTGATATTGAAAAATATTAGAATAATACAACACTAAGGAAATTGTAACAAGTCCAAAATTATTTAAATAACCTGGTACCCTATGAAGCTCTTGGTCTAGGCTTTTAATTTTTCATTTAGAATGGAGGGATTTAAGGATCAATATGAAGATCTGTTGATAATATTATATTTAATTAGTGTAATCAAAAACCATGCTCAGAGCATGACACCTGCCAGGGAGTGCTTCAAAACGATGGTAAGCAGCATGCATTAGAATCGTCTAGTGCTTGTCCGTGAGCACTAATCTAGCGGAAGTCCCACATGGGGCGGCTAGTCAGCTATTTTATTGACTTTGATCTGGTTTGAGGGGCAGTTTATTTTCCCACAATGCCATTGATCAATGATTTCCTTTCAGCAGTGATGTAATTAAAGGGCTTTAGTCGGCTTCTGCTGTGTTGCCTTGAAATTTATTATTCTGGAGATTTAAAGAAGATCGATAGGGTGCAGTGGCCCGATGTTTAGACCCGACTAGGAGGACCCTACTGAGAGTAGAAGGCATGGAGAAAACAAGGCTTCGGGACACAAACAAGATGCTTACCTGGGACCTTGAGCTGACCTGTTTACAGCAGATCCTGTATAACCAGAGCTACTCTGTCCTCTTTGTTATTGGCATTTTTACAGTTTGTTTTAAAGGAATTGAAATCAAATATTCCTGTTGTCAACATAGGATTTAAAATTTAAATATACTTACTAGAAATGCAGATTCCAAATGCCTCCATTATGAAATTAGACTAAAATGTGGCTAATTTTAAGACTATGGATAAAACCTCACTAGGATCTTTTTTTCAATTCATTCATTTGCATTGTTCTTTCTCTAACTTAAGTGTATAGTTTTTGCACTTTTAAAAATACATATGCAACAACCAGTATTTCAAAACATCACATTTCACTAATAGTTTCAGAGGGTGTACGACTAGAAATTAAGAGTATTATTTAATAAATTAGCAAAATAAATTCAGAGGGTTAAAAAATAGTAACATATAGACTATATAGGCTTGCTACTAGTGAGTTTTAATGAAATAAAAATAAGTTGAAAATAAAGAAGTTGGATTTGCGTTTCTTAAGTGGTTTGCTGTATTGCTTCATTAATAAAGGTCCTGAAAACAAAAGCAAAAATATGGTTACAAACACTTGGAAATCCTGCGTATATCTCTTAAGGAGGCCAAGGGACCATTTGCATAGTTTAGAATGTAAAGAATCTTGCTTAATCAATCCTCTTCTACTTTTTGCTGGATACATCATCCAATCTTGCTCTAATTTACAGATTTTGTTGGAACTCATTTTGGAAAATGTGTTAGTGAAAAACGAAAAAGCCCTCTAACTGATTAGAGACGATAGTCTTGAATTGTAACCTTTCTTTGCTTTTCGTTAATGGTATGATGTTTACAAATTAGATAATCTCTCTGTGTCTTACTTTCCTTATCTGTAAAATGAAGGCATTGTTTTATGCAGGCCAGGATTGGTCCAGAAAAGATATGCAGTATATCCAGAACTTTCTCTGAACAGCAGCATTCCAGTTGACCTGTTTCCCCTTGCAAAGACTGGCTTTAGATGCTTAGATGCTGGTATTAAAAGTTATTTTCTTAACCTCATGATTGGTTTATTATTTAGCTGTCATTGTTAGGAAGTTCTAGGCATCAAAAGCGTATAGAAATAACAACTATACTACGGGTCGAAGAGGAAACAAGTAGTTTGTCACTTTTCTAAATATAGCCAACCTTAGTATATTAAGCCTTCTGATAAAGATGGCATGCTAGCTAGCCAAGAATAGAAGTGATAATGCACATGTGATCTGGTTATTTATCATCTCTAAAAGTGATAATTTATAAATCAGACATAAACATTTTGTAGGCATTTTAATTTATATCCAACAAACTTTAGAATGACTTTCTATAGCTTCTTTTAAGAACAATGATGATTAGAAAGCAAATGCTACAAGTAAGACACATGAAAAAGTGATGAGCTGGGGGATAGTAAAAGGCCTAGTCTCTGCTTGATGAATTTGCAAACCAGAAAGAAACATGTACACAAAAGACATGCAAAATGATGAAATATACGACACAAAAAATGTGGTCATGAATAAAAATATGTATAAAACTGAACTGAGAAACAGAAGAATGAAGGGCAATGGTGACTTTGTATGCATGTGTTGATTTATGCATGTATTTAATTTTTTCTTTTTTCTTTCATGGCTTTCATCATTTTCTAATATTATATTATATGACTTCTTAGTGGGTTACCATCAGGCTTTCCTAAAAACTAAGTCCCTTAAGGGCAATAACATATCACGATCTCAAAAGAATGACTAGGGAATAGGAGGTCATCATCTCATAAGAGTAATTACCCATCACAGATCATCAAAGATTATGGACTTCTGAGAGAAGTCTATAGAAGGCAACAGGAGACTGTGCCATACTAGGCAAAGCTTAAGCATGTAAGACCTCAAAGCCTGAATCCAAAGTGACACAGTTCCTCCAACAAGGCCATGCATACTCCAACAAAGCCACACCTCCTAATAGTAACAGTCCATATGGACCAAGCTTTCAAACACCTGAGTCTTTGTGGCCATACCTATTCAAACCACTGTAAACAAATGTAAGTGCCAGGTTTCCACACTAAAATGTAAGAGAGTATGTTACAGCTCTGGAGCTGCAAAGGTGTCCTGACTCATTGGGAAGCCAGGCTACATAGATCCTCAAGGAGGGGTAGAGCACAATAGGACAGCTCAGGAGGGGTAGAGCGGAAATAGGACATCTCTGGAGGGAAAGGTGTCCTCACTTGTTGGGAAGCCAGTCCACCTAGAGCCAAAATGGGACAGCTCTGGAGTGGTAGAGCCACAATAGCTCAGCTGAGCTCTGGAGAGAAAGGTGACTTGGCTGATCTGGAAACCAGGCTACCTGAAGCAGTGGGGGATGGTTTCCCAGCAGGATGTAGCTGTCTTGCTCCTCTTCTAGAAGCAGATGTTTACATTTTGAGCTCTGCTCTGTTCCCCTAAGGCAATGTCCTAGCTTCTTCCTCAGCCCTGCTACACAGTCTGCTAAAGGGCCAGCCCCTGCAGTCTCCTCCACCTGGGAGAAAAGTTGTTTCTTTTCTGCTAAGAGTAGCTCAGCCCCCCACAGGAAAGTCTCAGCGTGTTTCTTTCTTTTCTTTTCTTTTCCTTTTTTTTTGGGGGGGGGTTTGTTTTGGTTTTTTTTTTTTTGCTTTTTTTCGAGACAAGGTTTCTCTGTGTAGTTTTGGAGCCTGTCCTGGAACACACTCTGTAGGCGGGCTGACCTTGAACTCACAGAGATCCTCCTGCCTCTGCCTCCTGAGTACTGAGATTAAAGGCATGAGCCACCACCACCCCAGCAAGTTTCTTCTGTTCTGTGCTGGAGTGAGATGGTATCTCAGAGTTGTTTTGATTTGCATTTCCAGGATGGCTAAAGACATTGAGCACTTTCTCAAGTACCTGTCAGCCATTTTAGACTCCTATTTAGTTCTGCAGCCCACTTCTTAATTGGATCCTTTGGTGTTTTGGAGACTTGCTTCTTGAGTTCTTTGTAAATTTTGGAGATCAGCCCTCTGTCAGATGTGGGATTAGTGAATATTTTTTCCCATTCTGTGGGCTGCCTTTTTGTCTTGCTGACTGCTTTGCCTTACAGAAGCTTCTCAGTTTCAGGAGGTCCCATTTATTAATTGTTGATCTCACTGTCTGTGCTACTGGTGTTATGTTCAGGAAGCTGTCTCCTGTACCAATTTGTTCAAGGGTACCACCCACCTTCTCTTCTAAGAGGTTCAGTGTGGCTGGATTTATGTTGAGGTCTTTGATCCATTTGGACTTAAGTTTTGTGCATGGCGATAAACATGGAGAGATCCGCATTCTTCTACATGCCAGCCTCCAGTTATGCCAGCACCATTTGTTGAAGATGCTTTCTTTTTTCCATTGTATATTTTTAGCTTCTTTGCCAAAGATCAGATGTTCATAAGTGTGTGGGTTAATATCAGGGTTTTCAATTCGATTCCATTGGTCTACCTGTCTATTTTTGTGCCAAAACCAAGCTGTTTTCAGGACTATAGCTCTATAATAGAGCTTGAAGTCAGGGATGGTGATGCCTCCGGACGTTGCCTTGTTGAACAGGGTTGTTTTGGCTATCCTGGGTCTTTTGTTTTTCCATACAAAATTGATTATTGTTCTTTCAAGGTCTGTGAAGAATTGTGCTGGGATTTTAATGAGGATTGCATTGAATCTGTAGATTGCTTTTGGCAGGATTGCCATTTTTAATACATTGATCCTACCTATCCAAGAGCATGGGAGATCTTTCCATTTTCTGAGGGCTTCTTTAATTTCTTTCTTTAAAGATTCAAAGTTCTTGCGATACAGGTCTTTCACTTGTTTGGATAACATTACCCCAAGGTATTTTATGTTGTTTGTGGCAATTGTAAAGGGTGATATTTCTCTGATTTCTTTTTCAGCCCTTTTATCATCTGTATATAGTAGGGCTATAGATTTTCTTGAGTTGATCTTGTAGCCTGCCACTTTGCTGAAGGTGTTTATCAGCTGTAAGAGTTCCCTGGTTCTAAGTTTTATCTAAAAATATTTTATATGGAAGAGATTTTGATCATGCCCTTTACCTTCCTGGATACATCTCCCAGATCCTCCCTGAGAACTAATTTTAAAACCCTGTGCATTCATGTCAGTGAATTATTGTGTAGAGATTTTTTTTTATTTTTTGAAATAATAGTGCCCTATCATTATATAAATTATTCATGTACATATGTATATGTGCATCTATATGTATTAAGGAAAACAGCATTTTCTCCATCAAAACATGATCATTATAAATTGTTCTAGTAAGAAATTATTTTAAATCATTTTGACAATTGTAATAGTATCTTCTGAGTTATTTATTTTTTCAATATATTTTTATTTTAATTAGAGATATGCTTGCTTCACATGTCAATCCCAGCTCCCTCTCCCACCCCTCCTCCCTTGCCCCTCTACCAGCCCCCATAGCCCCCCACCCAATCCCCACACTATTCCCCGTGGAAGGTGAAGCCCACCATAGGGGGTCTCCAGAGTCTTTCACAGACACAGTGGACCTGACAAGGGGGGAGCTCTTGGACCCAAGACTGATGTCTGAGAGGCCAGCATGGGACTGATCCAGACCCCCTGAATGTGGTGTCAGTGAGGAGGCCTCAGCAATCTCTGGGGCCTTGGGTAGTAGATCAGTCTTTACCATGGCGTATGAATGAACTTTGGGAGCCCATTCCATATGGAGGGAACCTCTCTCAGCCTGGACACAAAGGCCCTGACCCAGATGATGAAGTGACAGACTATGAAGTCACCCAAGACTCTTTTGAGAAAGAGATTTATGTGGGAAGGAGGAATCCAGGAGAGTTGCTGCCTCTGCCAGGATGGTGAAGGACACCCCACAATGGAATGTGCAAATGGGCTTATATGGGGCTTCTTGGAGTTTTCCCAGGGAGTGGTTTTTCTGCTCAGGGATTGGTTAGTTTAGTGGGTCAAGGGCAGAGATGGCTCTGATTTCAGGGCAAACTGTGTTTCTTTCACTGGTCCTTTTAGCTTTTTGGCTCTAATTTTAGGGCCTGGGCATATTTCTTTCACTGACTCTGATTCTAGGGACAAAGTCTATTTCTTTGGTACTAGTTTCAATGTCAGGGTGTTTTTCTTTGGTTCTGGGCCCAGGAATAAAGTGTTCCTTTCACTGACACAGGTTTCAAATCCTGGCTGTGTTTCTTTCATTGTCTCTGGGTTCAGAGTCAAGGTGCTCAGGGATTGGTTGGTCTCCTGCTTTGGTTTCCTGCTCAGGGATTGGTTGGCTCTGTGTTTCTGTTGATCAGGGCCATAGTTGGCTCTGGTGTCAGTTGGTCATAGTTGGCTTCTTTGCTTGGCCCCTTTACCCTACCACTACCACACCTACCCATTCCCCCTTTTCTAGCTGGAGACTTATGCAATAACTTCTGATCATGCCTACTTAAGTGTCCTGCAGGTAGAATTGCTCTGAATTTATCTTTCTTTTTGAATCCTCACCTGGTTCTTCTTTCTGTCTTCTTTGATGACTTTTTTCATTTGTTCAAGGAACACTTAGGTAACTTCCTTACTGACAGTATGCATTCCATCATAGTGGCATGTAGATTCTGCTTTCTAAAATATATTTGAGTATTTCCAGTAGGTCAGTTATCTCTCCCTCTACCTTTTGGGTACAATTTGAGTATAAAGTGTCACCCAAAGGCTCATGTGTTGAAGGTTTGGTCCCTAACTGTCAACTCTGACTACTGAGAAGTGGATCTAATTATGGGAGCTGTGACTTCAATGGATTACTCCATTCATATATTCTTAATTCAGTGGCATTATACCTTACAGGTATGGGAGGTATGGTCTGGTTAGAGAAAGCAATTAACGGTGCCTTTGAAGGTTATTATTTTCTTCACACCCTTCTTGTTTTGCCTCCTAACTCCCATGAAGTAAAGTTTTCCTTCTCTACACACTCTTTCCTACCATAATACGTTGCCTCACCCAGACTCAGTGCAGCTGAACCAACTGAACAGAGACTGAAATCTTTCCTTCTTTTTAAGTCATCATATTAGATATTTTGTCATAGTAGCAAGTCTGGCCAACACAGAAAGTCATCATTTCTTAGTTTTTCATGTCACGTGTTTAGTCTTGCTTCTTAGAATGCATTCATCAACATAGCATCCAAAACACTCTTTTTAAAAATTGTATTTAATTACATATATGTGTCAGTATCTGTGGCTATGCTACATGTGTCCTGGTGCCCATGGAGACCAGAGGACAAAATCAGATCGCCTGAAGTTAGCATTTCAGGCAGTCATGAGCCACTTGACATGGATAATAGGAACTGAACTCAAGGTCTATGGAAGAACAGCAAGAAGTCTTAACCACTGAGCCAATTCTCCAGCTGCAAAATGCTCCTTTCAATTGCCTCCAAAATATTTTTCAGTGACTTCCGTCTGCATCTAGGATGAATTTAGAATTCATAGAAATATTTCGAGTACTTGATGATTTGTCCAGGTCTACTATACCAGCTGAGTCATGGAACACTCTATTAAAGGCACCAAGCCTGTGCATGGTGTCAGACGTGTATACACACAGTGCTCAGGATGCATAGGCAGGAAAACTGTGAGTAACAGGTGAGCTTGGGCTACTTAGGAAGTTCTAAATTAGTCTTAGCTACAGAAATGATACCCTGCCTCAGAGAACCAATATTGACAAAAGACAGCTGGGCAGTGGTGGCACATGCTTTTAATTCCAGCACTTGGGAGGCAGAGGCAGGTGGATCTACATGAGCTCGAGGCCAGCCTACAGAGGGCAGGCCCCAGAACTACACAGAGAAACCCTGTTTCAGGAAATCAAAAAATAAAATAAAATAAAAAGTGAAATAAGACAAGACAGTAACCAATGTGGTACTCTGTTTTAGTTCTTTGGTTTCTTCCTGAAATTCTTGCCTCCTCCCTTCTAACATGATTAATTTAGTTATCTTTATGATTACAGATAAAAAATTTATGTTAAAGTGAAAATTTCTTGACAGCACCAGATGATAGCATTTTCTCTGGAAAAATTAAGAACTTGTCTTCATAACATTCATAATAGTTTTTGAAGTTGATGACTTTATGATTATGTAACCTTTTCTTCCCAGTCTTTCATTGGGTCTGACTGTCCTGTTCTTCTTTAGTATGCTGTGTTCTTCATACCTAGCATATTTCCTAGTTATAGAAGGTGGTTAGGAAGTGTTTAACTATCATCTGTCTCTGTAAAAAAACAACTCTAGTAATTTCAGCTTTTTCTAGTGCTCGAGGTTTTTGTCTCATATTATGAGTATTAACTATAATTCCCATAAAGTATAAATAAATATACAATATCAGCAAATAATTATGAAGCATAAACATGGTTTGCACCATCTTGACCAAAAGATATTTCTTTGCCAGCTTATTGGAAGTCTTCACAATCTCATTTTTCCTATTATATTGATTTTATTCTTTTTTTTATAGTTCATGAAGTATGAATTGCTAAGGACAGTTGCTAAGCTTTGACTAATTTAAATGAAATGCAGTAATTCTTTTCTAGGTGTCCTTGGGTTACATTTGTACATAGCCATTGTGTTCATTTTGTGTAGCGTAGTTCATTGAATGAGCATCCTGTAATTTTTTCAGTCTTTCTCCTGTTAATGAACTTTTTATCTTCAGATAACGGCTAATATAAGTACAACTTCTCAGAACATTCCTGCAAATGTCTGTGTCATGATACATTTGTGCATGATCTTCTCTGGTTTGTCTATGGGAGAGTTAGTTGTCTTGCTGTGTTAATGGATTATGAATAATTCCAAATTTACTAGATAATGCTAAACTTTCTAAAAGAATTATATCAGTTAATTCTCATAGCTATAGTACATCAGTTCCCATTGCTCTAGCTCCTCACCAACTTTTCGTATTGTAAAAATTTCTAAAGTTTCTCAATTTAAATACTTTTACTTTTTATATGAATTTCTCAAATTACCAATGACATGCAAATTTTCATGTTCTTTAACCATTTGAACTTCTTATTTTATTTTCATCATATTTTTATTATTCAAAACAACTTTATAATTTAAAAATATTTTGATCTCCAGGCTGTGATGGCACACGCCTTTAATCCCAGCACTCGGGAGACAGAGGCAGGCGGATCTCTGTGAGTTTGAGGCCAGGCTGGACCAACAGCCTCCAAAACAATACGGAGAAACCCTGTCTCGTAAAACCAAAAAATATATATATATTGATCATATTCTTCCTTTCTTCTAAGTCCTTCCAGATCTTCTCCCCTCCCTATCCACCAAACTTTAAGTTCTTTCTGAGAAAACAATACTACAACATACACAAAAGAAAAAAAATAAAACCACACTCCAAAAAACACCAACCTATGATCAAATAAAGTCATACACCATGTGGGTCTGAGACACTCTCAAGCAGAGGGCAGAAAGGGGCCAAGACTGAAGTGTGAACAAACTGGGTTGTCCTTTCTGCCATGGCGGGTCCACTCTAGGTGGGGAGCAGGCCCAGGAAGATCCAAGGAGGGGGAATGTAGAGAGTTGGGACCCTAAGCAGAACCCACACTCACCTCAAGCAGAGGGCAGAGGGGGGACCAAGACTCTCACACTCTGTGCAATGCCTAACTGTGGTCTCTGTATTTGTTCCCATCTCCTGCAGTAGGAAGCTTTCCCAATGATGGCTGAACAAGATGCTGGTTCTATGAGAATAGCAGAATGTCATTATCAGTCATTTTATCACTACATACTTCTTTTGTTTTTTAAAACCAGTATTATTTGATTTTACTCTAGGTCCCTGGGTTATTGAGTGTCAGGGTCTAGGTCACCCAAGCACTGTTGTGTATGGGCTCCATCTCTTAGAGTGGGCCTTAAATCAAATCAGTTACAGATGGTTATTCCACACCACCCTTGCCCTAGCATATCTTGTGGGCAGTATACCATTGTAGTTAAAGGGTTTGTGGCTGGCTTGGTGTTTGCATTTGTCTTTTGAGAGCATGCAGAGTAAGTCCCTTTATCAAAAGGGTGAAATCTCTATGTCTCGACATCTCCGTGTTCAGTGAGTTGTATATGTGTTGTCCTCAGCAATGGGGCCTCCTCTCAGTTTGTAGACAGCAACCTGTAGTCATGCTCAATTAGCTGTAGTCCAGTCCCTGTACGGGAAACTTCTTTTGGTGACAAGAGATGACCAGTTGGGACTCTGTCTCCCTTTTTATTTAAGGGTTTCATTTAGATTGCCTTCATATATGTATATATTTTAGGAAGTTTCTACTATATTGGGTTTCCATACTACCTCTGAAATGTCTCTTTTAATTTTAGTTGTCTCTCCCTAATGTACTTAAGTGGTTAGCCCATTCTCTGTTGTGTTCTGTTTTTTCCTATTGATCTGAAGCTGTTCTTGATATTGCTATTTATTCTTAGATAAAAGGGTTCTTATTACAATCAATAAACATTTGTGGATGTGTGAATGTTATCCTCAGTGTGCCATCATCTTCTTCATTCACTGGTTTCAAGATACACTCCTGTTCTGGTTTGGTTTCTGTTGCTCTGATGAAACACTGACCAAAACCAGCTTGGAGGAGGAATGGATTGATTTTTCTTACAAGTTAATCCATCATCAAGGGAAACCAAGGTGAAACTCAAGCAGGAACTTGAAGGGTAAAAACCTACTGTTATTCTGCTAAATAAAACGACTCCTAATTACATATCTTGCTATACTTGTAGAGGAATGCATTGTTCAATACTCAACAGAGAAGCTTCTTGCAGTAGATGGCAGCTAACACAGAAACCCATAACTGGTCAGTGTGCAGAGAAAAGAGGCTTGAGTGCTCTGCTCTAAGTGGGATGTCCATGTAGCATGCCTCCCGTCAAAGCTCAGGGATCTATGCAGAAGAGGGGCATGGAGCATGTACGAATCAGAGATGCTAGATAACTTCAAGGAGGCAGTGTTTTCTAGATCCAACAGGTCATGTGTGCATATCAGCTCACAGTGACTGTGACAGTATGCACAAGACATACTCAAGCCAGGCAAAATTCTAGCACAGAGAAAGAGGCCACAAAGTTTCATCCTCTAGCAATTGATAACTCCTGAGAGAAGGAAAACCAGTTTTCTTCAATGGGGTGAGGTGAGGAAGGATTTGTGAGGGGTTGGGATGTAAAAATTATCAAAATATATTGTATAAAATGTAAAAATCTAAAAATATTTGTAAAACCAAACAATATTAATAATAAAGATAGTACATATTTCCTTCTTAGTGAAAAAGGAAGAGCTTTTTAAAACTAACATTCTGTTATATCAAATCAATTATTGCAGTTGGTTCATGGAAATATTCCTTAACAGCGTTATTTGATTTAGAATACATAAGTTTGTATCAACTATCCCAAAGTTGTATTTGTAATATTAGATTTTTATCAGCCATTTACTTTAAAACTTCATAGAATTTCTGTGTGGTATATATTGATTTGTCCTTTAGTGTGTAGTAATATATTTTAAGCACTCAGAATAGATGGTTGCATCGTTTATCCTAAATATCAATGAGTATATTTTATGCATACTTCTTATTTCCTTTCTGCAGGGTAAGTTCATCGTTGATAACCATTTTCACACATGCGCGCGCGCGCGCACACACACACACACAAACACTAAAACTTATTTTCTCCCTTTTGTAGACTTATTTCCTGACAATCAAGCCCTGTGCCTTATTTTTTAAATTTCTTTTATTTTTGAGATTCTAATATAGTTACATCATTTCATTTTTCCTTTCCTCCCTCCAAACCCTCTCATATACCTCTCCTTGCTCTCTATCAAATCCATGGCCACCTTTATCTTTAATAGCTATTGAATACATACACATATGTACTATGACCATTGAGCATAATCCTTTTCCTGCATCTATAGACACCATAACACCATTGCTACTCTGTTGATTTGAAAGCATTTTGTTCTTATCTGAGAGGTCTCTACTTTATATAGAAATTATTCTTTTCTGGTCTTTTAATCTCTCCTGTGAGTGTTGTGTAGAAAACAAAAGCTGTTTACCTCCATATGAAAAGATAGTCAGACTTTCCAAGGGAACAGTCTGGTGAGTAGAAAAATTCATTGCAATTTTGATAAAAATATTTTCATTGTGAAAAGACAGACAGATAGACATACGAGAGAGATAAGGTTATTTGAAGGAATGACTGACAAGAAAACTTAAATTTGTTGGGTACATGCTATGTCCCAGGTGCTGAATGTCTCATAGAGTGTAGCTTGTTTGATCCTCGAATGATATCTGTGAGGAGATTAATAGCCAGTTCTTCCTGTTCATATAGGTTTACTAATCATTATTTACTGTTTTTCTCCTTTAAATAACTTAAGCCACTGCATAGTGAATTAATAAAATGGTGGTGTGTGATTATTTTTAAAGAAAAACAGAAAAAAGCATAAGTAGGGGTAATAGTTCAAGATCAAAGGGAAAGTATGCACCTATCCAAGGATTCTGTTCTACTGAATTGTCTCTTATTCTGAACTTGCTGACAACCACAGCTGAAGCCAGCTCAGAAGATGGAAGGAGAGCCTTACCCTAGGATCTCATGCAGCTTCATACATGTGCTGTCTTACACAGCAAGCACAGGAAAGATCCAGATGCCTGTGCTTAGCAGCACCTTTAGTCACCACCATCATCACTACCACCTTTGCAAGTATGGAAGTTTTAACAACAAGATTCCAAGAAAATGTATGATTCATATATCTCTTAACATCTGCCAATTAAAAGCCAAAGATATGACTATAAAGGTCTACACTTTAAATTCTAGTCTATTAGGAAAATATGATACAAATAGATAACACCTTGATGGATTCACTTGGTCCAAATTAAAATTGATGTTTTAGAAAAAAAATCAGTGATTAATTTTCTCCCTGCCTGGTTCTTTTGATAAGCAGATGTCATTTTGGTTTTCTCTGTTTAGAATGGCTTGTACAAAGTTATGTGATGTAATTGATTTGAGGTGGTTATTTAAGGTTAATCTAAGAAATCAAATTTTTTAATGGATTGGTCTCTGGCATAGAGGACTGATGCTGAGCCTGGAGAAAAATAATATTATAAGATGTCCAGGACAAAGCTAAAACTGTCAGGATAGCTAAGGAACACTCATCGTGCCCTTAAGTGTAGACTGTGGCATGTCAGAATCCTTATGTAGATATTGCATCTGTCTCAACAAGAATAGATTCAAGTATAGTAAAGGTCATGGCAACAATAATACATTAATGAGAAATATAGTTTTTAGAAGGTTACTGTAATAGTGATAGTGAACTAGGAAAGTAGTAGTAAACATGGGGAAATGCAAAATTAAAATATTTTATGTGTGAGAGGCTGTACTGATAGAACTCAGAATTAATGATTATGGGGAAGTGAAGTGATACTAGAAATTAATAATTGGTACCTAGAGAGTTTTAGCTAATAAAATATTCTTAAACTATAAGATAGATATAAGATATAAAAATGATTCAGAGAAAAACAGAAGGAAAAGAAAGTAGTCTTCCAACACACTGGTATAAAAAGTACATAATAGATTTCTAGCTCCAGGTTTGAAATCTCCCTTGCTTGCTTTAAAAAGATCAACATGAACTACAAGTGGCAGAATTGATAGGTTTTTTTCTTAAAATAGAAAAATTCAAAATCTAGGCAAGTACAGATATGCCACCACTCCTTATGTTTTGCTGTGGTTGGTTATTGAATAGTTGTTGCATTCAGCCATCCTCACCTGAAAATAGAATTTTTTGTGATGGGACTATTCTGTGTTCATGTGTAGTTTGTAGAAGTTGCTTTTATCTGATATGTACACCATAAATCTGGAGTTGGTGCTATTTTTCAATAAACAACTTTAAAATTGTATCCAAAATAAATCATATTGAAGAACAACTTGCTAAGAATCACGAAAGAGGATGAGAATTTTCCAGGTACCAAGATTCCATGCACCTGCCATAGAAACTAAAATGATATAGCATCAGGACACATATATAAGGACTTCCTGCTTACCTAAAGTAGGGGAAATATGGATTTTTTAAATTGGTAATGTTTAAGGAATCAATTCTTATATGGAGTCTCTGAGGGCCTAAATGTAAAACTTAAGGCTTTAAAACTTCAAGAAAAAAATGTAGGAAAATAGATTTGTGATCTAGGAATAGGAACCCTTCTCCTCCCTGTGTGTGCGCACACTCTCAGGTGTACTCATACATGTGGAGGGCAAAGGTTTAACCTCCTCGTACTGTAAAGAAAAGCCTTCCTGCCAGCCTGGTTCCAGATCTGCATCAGTCCCAAATAAACACACAGGAGGCTATATTAATTATGAAGCTGTTGGCCTTGCTTGTTTCTTACTGGCTAGCTCTGACTTAAGTAATTACCCCATAATTGTTAATCTAAGTGCATCTCTTACCGGAGAAGTTTCCGGGCTTCCTACCCCATGGCGTTACATCTTGACTCTCTGTGTTTCTCCTTCACAGAGTCCTTCTGGACTCCTAGTCCCACCTATCTTGGTTTGCTATTGGCCAACAGTGCTTTATTGACAAATACACAGGACTTCCCCAACATCGTACATCTTTCCCTATTGTTCTCTACCTGTTTTGTTGAAGGGTCTCTTGCTGAACCTGGAGTGAATTGATCTAGACTGGTTGGCCAACACACACCTCCTGTCCCTGCTTCCCCTGCACCACCATGTCAGCTTTTTCACAGAGACTTTGGAGACTTGAGCTCAGATCCTTTATCCACAGTCATCTCCCCCATCCCCATATAAGACTTCTTAAATAAGGCAAAGTATTTAAAAACATCAGAACCCTATAAAAATAACCTCTAATAAGAGGCATGGAGAACACTCTGGGAGAACCTAGTTATAATGTGTATAACTGAAAAGGAAAACCATCAGGAAGATAAAAAGCAGCCCTTCTAGTCTCACATTTAAAAAGAAAAACCAAAATAATCATAGAAGCGTAAGCATAGAGACAATTGTGAAGGAGAGTAGTTAGTTAGTGGCCAGCACCTCTGGGAACTGGACTCTCACATTCATGCACATAGTCACACACACACACACACACACACACACACACACACACAAACACTGTAGACCAGCTAAAAATCCAATAAGGTTAGAGATGCACAAGAATACGGGAAATATTCATTGTCTTATTCACCTACTGTGAAACAACTGTTTAAAGAGGGGAGTAGGAAAGGAGGGAATCTGAACCTGATTTATGCTTTTGTATGGACTTTTATATATGACTTTTATGTGGACATGTAAGCTATAAAGACACGTCAGTTGATTCTGATAAATTCAGCTTATCTTGAGATTTACATAAGTTGAACGTAAAATGAACACACCATTGGCATTGATCCGCATTGATTGACTATGTCCTATACAAACTCAGTAGGGTACTTGTGACTTTAACATGCTTCTTGCTTTGTGGGAAATAGACTGTTCCTAAAATGTCGTGCCTTATCAGGAACTAAGATTACAGAAATACTAAGTTATGATGCCACAGCCAGTGAAAAGGTAAGGGGCTAGGTTGAGATGTATACATCCTAGGTGAAAGTATCTGGCAAATTGTAGTAGGTGAGTTAATAGAAATGCATACTGTATTGCTAATTGGGACAATCCTTCATTGAGAAGATTTCTGTCTCCTCTAAATTAATGTGTTACTTTAACACAGTTCTTCAGAATCAACATGAATGTTTTTATGTATTTATAGATGTGGTTTTATCTGTGTTTGTGTATAAGGAGACCTAACAAAAATAATATTAAAGATTATCTACAAGACTATTTCTTTTGAGTATACCACCAAAAATGTAAATCATAAGAATGAGATTGACTTGTCTCAGCCAAGCATTAAAATACATGTGTTACTGGTTCCAAAATCGCCAGTGTGATCAGGTATACATAGTATTTCAGAAGGAACCAAATTACATATGAAACTTAAGCATACAATAAAGGATTGTGATCTCTTACTATTTTTCTTACTCATACGTTTATATCACATAAATTCATTTTTCCTGTGTCTGCTTTTCTATTAGAATCTTATTCCTAATTTATTACATAATTTTAATTAGCATAATTTTTCAGCTACATAATATTTGTCCAGAAAGGATACCATTAGTCACTTGCCTACTGCTGAATATTTATATTATTTTTCTATTAAAATAATATTCACTGAATATCTTCATGCATATTTTTCATTTTAAACTTATTTTTAATATTTGAAATTATGATATCAGAGTATGAACTATTTTTGGTACTTGAGATATACTTCTGTATTTCTCTCTGTAAACATCGATAGGGAAAAGCATTTGACATCAGCTCTCATTTGGAACATTATATTTCAAGTCTCCTCCCTCCCCACCAGAATGATAACATTGTTTATTTTGCTTTCCTCTCGGAGAGGATTCCACTTTCAGGATTGCATATAGATAAGCCTAATAAGCCTTTAGCAATCTTTAGCCTACTGATTCCTTGGAAATACTCCCATATATATAATTTGTAAGTGATAATACAAACCATAAAAAATTTAGTAGAAAAATAAACCAATTTCATCCTCCTCCTTAATCAAAGAAACAGTGAGTTTTCTGGGGCCAGCCAGCCTGGCTTTGCACTCTAACCATATCTAATAATTCTAAGACTTAAGCAGTTTTTAAACTTTTCTGTGCCTCAGTTTCCTTAGTTACAAAACAAGAAAGCATTGAGACAGCTTAAAGGTCATTATTAAAGTAGATTGTGAATTGGTATAAAACATTTATTCTATCCTTTTAGTCTGCTGACTTCCTGTATGGAAAAGACTAGAAATCAAAAGCCTGCATGTCATAGAATTCTTTACTTCTAACATTGTAGGTATGAGGTAGGTCTTGCCAATTTGATACACTCACATGAAAATTTTTAACATAATTTTGAATGTAGAAAGTAGAGGTTATCTATTTGCTGTTTCAGCTGTTGCTACTGATGGCACAGCTGTGGAGTCCTGGGGTATTCCAATATCTAGTCACTAGTATTATACAGATTGAAGATAGGTGCCCTGATGTCTTCTTGATTATTAATTGTAGGCAAAATATCATTGAAACATTCAGTTCAAAAGACAGCCTCCTGATTTCTTACCATCCTGCCTATGGTTGAGGGATCATACACAGTAGCAAACTAGTTCACCAATACTGATTGTCATTCTTGTAGGCCCATCTCAGAGTCCATGCTTTCAGGCCTTCTGCCAACTCTTTAAACATCCAATAACTTTGTGATCCATTTTTCTTCTAAATATTTAGCATTTTTCATGCTTCATGCTGCAATACTTGTGGTAGGTAATGGCAGTGGGAACAGCAGCTGCAGCAGTGGTAGCTGCAGTGCTTACTGTTAATGTAACTTTTTTTAATTTTCTTTTCAATCATTTATAGTGTATCACAATACTTTTCTCCCCAGAATCCCAGGTAAGCAGAAGAGTCCTCAGTACAGTATAAGACAACTACTACTCAACTGACCTGCCAGTTGCTTACTTAGAATTTGCTTTATCTTTGCTATGTTACTGTGAACTTGATATATATTTTTGGTATGAATGGCACTTACCTTAGAGAAAAGGAAAGACAGGGAACTGGCATTCAGGCCAGAACGAAGTCAGTTGAACCAGCTGGGAACAGGGGCATTTCAACTTAAGTTTAACACTTAGTTACTGAGCTTCTGTTTACA